TTACTCCTACAACAAACCTTTGCATTTCAGGTTAATAATTTTCTTGGAGAAAGTTGGATGTTTTGCCCTTTTGGTATACACTACTGAGAAAAAAAAATTGTGATGTGGTAAAACTGTTTTTAAACATGTTTTACAGGCATATTTTAAACAATGAGGGAGATAGTTAATGATTTGTCTATTAAAATGAGGCACACATATTTAAATAGAGATTAAAGACAAGTTAATGGGAGTGAATTATCTGTGGCAAGATATCTTATCATTAAGGATTGCCTGAAGCAGTCACAGTATTTGAAACACATTTTGGGAAAACCCAGATTTCCCACTTAACCAAGACCCTTACAAATACTGTAATTGACTAAATTGTTTTGTACACCCAAACTACAGCAGCTGAAAGATAAGCTCTTCCTATTAAAAAACAGACAAACCAAACAACAACATGAACAACAACAATAATGACATAGTATTTAACCAAAAACCACTCAGCCTTTGGGTAAGACGTACAGACAGTGCTTTTAAATCTATGGGAATTTCCTATCTCATGGGAAATTCCCAGAGTTTATGGATACACACACGATTAAAAATTATATTTACCCCTTCACTATTTACTGTCTGTGTGTCAGACGGGCTTTTCCATTCTCTGTAAATCTGCGTGAAGAAAGATTTGGAAGTGAAGGAGTTCCGACAAGGAAATATGCTGTTGATGTGATTCTCCCACAAATTATTCATTTCTGGGAGAAGGACACAGTATTTTGAAAATGAACATATTGTTGCTGACAACAGTTATTAACATCATAAAAGCGCTGAAGTCTATACATAACAATATCTTACTAGATACTAAACAGTGTATATATACAGTATACTTAAAATATTGAGAATCCCTGATATGAATAATAAACACCTTTATTTAAATTTAGCACACAGACTAGGCTCCAGGATAGGAGTCTTTCTAGATTAATCTTGCCAGTTTTTCTGAACCTCACCCAGCCATTTAGGGCATAGCCTGATATGATATCCATACTCCACTCCTACATCTTTTCTCTCATAAAGCTGTCTTGTGTTCTTCACATGGCTGTTTCACCTTTGTTTAACAAGAGGCAGAGCAGAGAAGAAGCTTTGTGAGCTGGCTATAATGGCAGACGTTCTGACATTTATGAGCTAAATTGTTCCACTGTAGATAAACAAGAAAGTACGGGGTAGGCTGCACACAGTTCTGGACGAAGGGGAATCCATACTGGGCCTCGAGTGATGCCGTGGGTAATGTAACAGACAGAAGGGGGATTCCCTGGCAGCATCCACACACGTCCGTTTATAGAGAGGGAGGCCATGTTTATTCCACCTGGTCATTATTGTCAAGACTCATTTTCGACCCAAGGAGAACAGACTACAAATAACCCTTCAATAAACCTGCAAAAAAAACACATTTTACTTCAGACAAGAAAATATATACAGTAGAACAGGGGTAGATACCCCTGGCCATTGAGTGCTGTGTGTCTGATTTCCATTCCCTCCCAGGGCTTAATGACCCAAATAAACTAATTAAGAGGACACCAAGTCAAGACAGCTGCGGTTTTCAGTTCTTTATAAGGTGCTAATTGAAAGGTGCCTCTAAAGCCGGCGTCGGGCAACAGGACTCGAAATTTACCAAATTTATCGACTGCAATTTGTTGAATCTCGCTGCCTTTTCTGTCCTAGACGGTGTCAAATTATACGAGGGTAACTTCACGATTCCCTCACAACTTTTCATCATGGTTCCAAATCTCGTATTGTGCCACGAAAGTACCGCGAGGTCGCCTCATTTTGGCAGACAAACAATCAATCAAAGTTTATTTATCAAATGCACAACAATATAGCATGCAGCAGTAGTTGCTGGCAATGAAATGTATTTTCTACGAGTTCACCGGGGGAAGAGTGCAAGAGCACTTGAAGCACAAGCAGAGCACCGCATGAAAGTAAACAAACAACACGGAGATCAATCACGTAAACATCTCGAAAAACGTAACACAGGCATTGTTTTCCACAAATAATTATCTTCAAAAACATAATTCCTCTTTATAAATATAGAACGAAAAAATAGAAAAAATAAAACAGTTAAAAATATAAAACACCTTTTAAACAAATATTGTAAACAAATTAGTATTGCGCAATGACGTGCAATAGCGTTATCTCACAAGTACACATCTGGCTCACTGCCCACCCCCACCAGTTTGATTTTGTCGTAGCGAGTCGCAGAGAGTCGTAGGGGTGGGCAGTGAGCCAGATGTGTACTTGTGAGATAACGCTATTGCACGTTATATGAGTTGCTGGGGTGTCGCACTATACTGTACGTCCTGACGGTAACGGGCGCGCTGCGACTGTGAGACATGAGGTCTCACATAAGTCTCTTCAGTGTTGCTCAGTATTATACAGTAGTTATAGCAATATGAAGTTGTCATGAAAGTAGAGAAAACATTGGGGCAATTATGGGAGTAAGATCAATAAAGCACATCAAGGCTCACATATTTCTTCAAATATTTAAAAGTTTATATTGATATTAATGACTTTGGTGACCTTTGAGTGCTATTTCGAAATGGGAATGACAGATTTTCCAAAAATCCCCCCCAAATTTAAGTTTTATTACAAAAAGGAGTTGATAAAAATATTGTTTGTAGGTAGAAGATAACGAATTTCACAATGTCATTATCTCTGAGCCCTACACAGAAGTCATGAGGTCCAACCTGAGAAAACCGAATGGATTGTCAGTTTTTTCCCACACTTTCTATGAGAGAAGTTGTCAGTTGTATTGGTACAATAACCTAAGCATGATTTTAAAAAAGTGATCCAAAATGGCATGTATAAGGATGTGGAAATTCCAGAAAATGTCCCTCTAATGAGCCGTTCTTCTGAGTTATGTAGAACTCTGTGTCAAATCATTTTAACCCACAGTTAAAAAAACAATAGTGGGAGATATTGACTCAAAAAGGAATATTACTGTGAGAGAGCTGACAAGAGCAAAGAAAAGGTGAATATTTTTTTCCCCACAGGCGAATGTGCCTCCTGACTGATGTTGAAAGCTAATATAAAGACCTTTTGAACATCGCTCAAAGTAATTTAAGAAATATGAATATAGCTCTGAAAATTTAACATCCTACTTAAATACTACCTGTATGCTACATACAGTATATAAAGGCGTTATCTGGCAAATACTTCACAGAAAGGGCTCAATAAATATAACTATTAAGAGCATGGTGTGGTTGAAAAAAACAAGAGGGATAATCCCAAGGAAACTGTCAAGGCAAGTCATAATGGAAAACCCAGCAACCTTGTGAAATACAAACAATAAATTCAACCATAAGTAACAACGCCAGCACAAGTATTTCAGAAATTGTGAGAATAGAGAGACCATTGCAATGCATGTCACCCAGAAGATTAGTGAATGAGTGGGAACAGAGAAATTGTTCATATGGCTTTCTGCTTGTTTTAGGTGTGTGTCTGCACCCTTTACTTTCAGTGTGGGTCAGTTTGCTTACTAATTAACCTTGCATTCCTCATTCCATGTTTCCCAATTCTTCATGTACGATCACGTTATTCATCAACTTACACATTCATACGTGTCAAAAAGTAAGCCTCACCTCACTTCTGAAAATGTACTGTATGTGGCATGCATTAGTTCACTTCTTTCTGTACACTGTCCTTATGGTTACAGATGAATAAAGATAAAACTCTCATACAGTAAGTCTTGACAAGCTTTTTAAAAAAAGTTTTACTTTAATCATTGGCTTTCCAGAGACTCTCTAAAAGTACAGTTTCTGCAGTGGCTGAGTACCGTCATTGTACTGTAGCAGTGCACTGAGATAGACTAAAATATAATTTTCACCTTGTTCTGTCCCATAATCGTGATTGTTAAGAACAAGTTTTAGTGACAAGTCTGTATTGGTCTATGTTTTATGCAAATGTTTGCATAACATTTGTTTGGTAAAGTTTTACAGTGGTTCAATCTAACACCTTCGCAAGCATCATTGCTCCTCTTCCGTGCCAATACTGTTTTGGGTTTTTTTAGTACATTTTGGCTTGCTTAGGTATTTCAGCACTTGAAAGCATACAGTAGCAAAGCCAGCACACCTCATGCAAACTTCAAACAACTTATGTAGTTTTTCATGCGTTGTTTTCAATGCCAGTTTTCCATTAGCTTGTAGGGTGTCTTCAGAATGTCTCTGTAAAGGTTTTCAACTTGACATGGGACCCCATATTTAACACCTAAAATAATTACTTTCAGTGTTAAGAACAAAGAGATGACTACATTTATGTATGGAAGAGTCCATATTACACTAAAGGCTTGTAGGACATAAATGTCTTCCCACCTAAAAGGGTCTGGCTATGCCCAGCTCTTTTCCAATTATCACTTCTGTTGCTCCAGTCCTCTAAAACATGCTTTGTTATTTCACTTTCGGATTCAGCCCTGGAACTGCTGTGAACACAAAAGCACCATTGTTTCGGGGTGGTATTCACTTAAGTCATACAATGGTATCAGTGAAAACTATCTACTTCATGTTACTATGAGGATATTTCTTCTACCCTTAATTATTCTTGTCTCTCACGTACAAGTCACATCAGCAACCAGGAATTCCATTCCCAGTTTCACCAGCTAACTTATGATCCAGGAAACCGAAGTGCAATCAAGTTTGATAAGGACTGAAACCAAATGAGAGAACAAATGCAACAAATGAGTATTGGAATCAATAGCATTTTTTGCATTGTTAACGCCTCTCATTATGCGTTATGTAAAGGAAATTAAATATATTGATTGCTTTGGGTTAAGGTTTCTTGTAAATTCAAAGGGGGAAATGCTGCTTACAAATGATTTGTTACTTCAGTCTGATCCTCTGATCCCTAGGTGTGTCTGCCATGTCTCATAGGTATGCTATGTTCTCCAACTGATGTCTGAGAAGGACAATGAATAAGTATCACAACATCAGATACCACATATCTTATTTGTGTCTGTACATACTGTATTCACATGCACGTGACTTAAACTTCAATATTTTATTATAAAAATATGATTTCCAAGATGGCAATACCGAATACGTTTTATCAAACATACGCTCTTATTCTGAACTATCACAAATCAATTATTAGTTTGACGTGTCACAAAAAGTATTAGTGCAAAACTATTTCAAATTATGTCAGTATAGAGTCTGACATTTTGTACAGCATATTACAAACATTTTCTTTTGTCATATTCTGTGTACAAAGATGAAACCACATTTTTACAACTTAAATCATTTCACATATATTAACAGGGAACAGCCAGATGCTGGCAGGAATTTTAACTTTGTAGGAACTATGCCCAGATGTTTAACACCACAAAAACATGTACAAATAACAAAACATTACTCACGTTTTTCACCTCTGACATACTTTCCAAGTAAAAACAAACAACATATTCAGAAAATATTTACTATGTACAATATTAACATTAACAGCACCATTACGAAGAAAGAGGTGATGAACTTAATTCATACAATACACTTGAAAATAAATTAAGTATAAATTAAATATTTTGTAAACTACTTATTATTTACTAAAAACACACTGTCCATAAAAGAAAAGTGCAGAACGTTCAAGACTTTAAGGTGGACAGCATAGTATTGATTACAGAACATAGACCACCCTGTAGCAATTCAGTTTATGTGAGGTATACAGTATGTTGCTACAAACTGGTTTGTGGCAATATGTGGTAAATAAATATGTCATATGACAGTGTCAGTTCATTTTCACATCATTCATGAAATCAGTTTAATGATTTGAAAAGGAGATAGAAAATGTATAAATGGGTACAATAAAACGATGTATTAAGAAATACGTTTGAAATAGTCTGAAATTGACTTAACAAAACTCCAGTCTAACCTATATCTTTTATGTAACCTGTAATGTGAAAATGTTGATGGTATCTAAAAGTCGCCATAAACAACAACTAAAAGGCAATAAAAGCATAAAATTGTAGCTGTTTTAGACCACAGTACAGCAGCTGTTATTTCGCAAAGGACTGAGGCCGGACTCGTAGTGCTTTACTTTTCTGAAGATAGCTATAGGGTGGGGTTTTCTTTCGGTTATTTCTTCATGTCATAACTCCGCACACTCTGTACAGTGTTTTAGGAATTCTGCTGTCTGATCATCACTGTAAGAGATGAAGCACCTTGGGCACTGCAAGTCAGCAGAGGCTCTGAACTCAGTCCTAATTGTTACTGCAGGTTCCAGCGCAGCCTCATCATTGGATCGCTTTGCCCCCGGTGGATCAGGGCTGTTTCTCAGCAATGGTTCAGCAGCATCCGTTTCTATGCGAACGACGTTTCTATGTCCAATGCATATTCGGCATGAGGTAGCTTGATCTCTGGAATCCTAGCAAATGAACCAATAAAACACATCCTTATTAACTGAGTTTAGTGACTGTGCAATTGCAAAGCAATGAACCTGTCAATAGGTAATGTTCTGTTTCCCAGTGATCCTAAGCCTATTTAAGGGAAATGGATGGTAATGTGCACAGAAATAGATCTGATATTCAATAGAATGGGTATATATTACCTGTGCTTATGGTTGCATATAGCCAAACTATGGTTGGTTATGGTTCAATAATCGAATAATCAATTAAACTAAGCATGATGCAATACATCCGCATTTTAAAATATTTACTTCATTACTTCACTCGTATTTAAAACACACCTTCCTTTTTTGTTATCTAGGGGGGAAAAACCTATAGGAAGCGGAACCATGGGTTAGGTTAATGTTAGGACTGATGCAATTTCTTATTTCCTAAATGGATGAATATTAACCTAGGTCTTTCTAGATCCTTGCCTGTCTCCTGAGCTGGAGTTGGAGATTGACTATCTCCTCCTGCAGGTCCTGTATTTTGCTCTGGGCCCGCTCTCGGTCGGCTCGCTCGGACTTGAAGTCATCGGCATAAATTAGCACCTGGAAAACAAGATCCCGGAAAACAACGATGAATCAACAACACAGCTGAGAGATTGCAAGAGCTGTGCAAAGCGTCCCTCACTGTCAACAGTGAGGCCAGTGAAGGAAGGGCTCCTTCTTATGCAGTAGGTATTATATTATTACCTGCTGCTCAAGCATTTGGATTTGCTCTCTGTCTCGTTTCCTGTTCTCCTCTGTCTTGGCAGCCTCCTTCATCTTCTCCTCCAGCAGTCGGTTCAGCCTCACGATCTCCTGCTGCATCATGCTGGCATTAGCAGGCTGGGGAGTCAGCTGCTTCAGTTTCTGACACAGCCCTTTGACAAACTCCTCCCGGCTAGAGTCGTATTTCTGCCACTTGGCGTTCAAATTCTCTACCTGTCGTAGAGATATGATAACATGGTCAGTTTTGGGGATATTATTTACAGTCACCTATATACCTTACCTACAGTATATACATTTCATTATACAATCTTTACACTTGTTTCAGCAGGGAGCTGTGTCATCATGTGTAGGCGAAGGTTCATCCCATCATTTTGTAATCATAAACCAATATTTAATTAATCAGAAAAGAAGAGGGGAGTATTTTCTCTACCTTGAAACATGTGCATCGCGTTGGCCCTGCTATGTTTTTAAGATGTAACCACCATAACACAACAGGCTGAGCACGGCGGACTTACATATGCCACTTGCTGTTTCAGAGATTTGTTTTCTTCCTGTAGCCGGCAAATCAAGGCTTGAAGCTGAGCAGAATTTGACGAATCCGCACCCTGGAGAGATACAAAACAGGAAACCAAGGATTAGCAATCACAGTCAAGAACTATATAAGCTTTGCAAAGACTGGAATTGGTTTGCCTTATTGGCATTTTTTTCTGGCTGGGATAATGTTAACATTTCCTCTAAAGTCACGCGGAGTACATCAGTGGTATTACAGCAGGCTGAGAGCAGTGTATGATAAGGGGCTGTACGGTCTCTTTCTCTCAGGTTGAGGTACCTCTCTGGGCTGCTCTGATTGAGTGGCACTGCTGGTGGAGTCCTCCCTCTGCTGCTTCCTCTCCAGTCTCTGCAGTAGCTGCTGACACACGCCTACAGTGGCGCCCAGCTGGGCCCTGAGATTTTCAGCCTCCTCGGCGAGAGAGTAGCACAGGACCGCCCTTGTGGCCTGGACTCTGTCCTTCTCTGCCACAGTCTGCTGCAGCTGCATGATCTCCAGGTCCTTCTCGTGCTGGGGCCTGCTGGTGATTCTCTGGATTTCCTGCTCTTTGGCACTCAGCTGCTGCTGCAGTTCCTGAATCTCCTGAAATTCACGGAGAGTGGGGATTTACAGTTACAAGAAGTAAAACGCTTGTTGCTAATCTTAAATAAAGAGTGGTTTTATCTTGAATACCTATGCTGTGTGTGTTTTTATATCTATTTAAAGCACATAATTTAAATGTTTTCCTGTCCAATGCAGACCACACACAGACTGGGGAAAAGTAATGATGAGATGCTGACCTTCAGTTCTGCACTGTACTGTATATGATCTTAAATTCATTGCTTACTAAATTATTTGAAATAAAGGAGGCTTTCTTTTATTTCTCAGTGTCATGCCCTTATCTTGCAGGAACTATATGCACAGAAGCTAGCTTGTTCAAACACCTTGAGAACATATTTTTTTTTTTTTGTCAATTGATCTACCTAGTGTGGTCAAATGAAGTAAACATGTAATGGCATATGTTCAACTAAGTCTATATGCTGTATCTACATCAACATATTTCTTCATCTAATCATGAAACTGTAAGAATACAGAATCACAGACATGAACATTCCCTGAAACACAACATGCTAATAGCATTAAAAAAAAACGCAGGACACTAAACTCAAAACAGTCCTTTTTTCAAAAATAGGTTCCATGCACTTTCTGGCATAAAGGGATGGCAGAGAAACAGAAGAAATCCCCAAACGAATTAACAAGTAAAAACAAAACAACCAAACCAGATAAGATACTTTTGAAAACAACAACAAAACAATCTTGATTTTCTGTTTGCATTTACCCTGTTTACAGACGCTTATGAATGTAAATGATAACTTTAAAAACCATATAAACAAGTCACATTTGTTTCTAGTGAAAGCACCAGCATTGCCAATCGGTGCCTTCCATGAAATGATACAGCTCTTTCCTGAGAAATGCTCTTGGGGTTTGGAAAAACTGAGTTTTTCCAGCTAAAGTGGAGGTTGCTTGTTTTAAGTTTTTACTCTTCCGGTTTCAGTATTGCAAATGAATTATTTCGCTGAATGTCTGAACCTTTACGATATTGAGATATTTGTCTAAGGCACTAAAAAGACGAGCAATAGAGTTGAATTAAATTAGAGTTGTAAGCAATATAACACACACTCGCGTTCATCGCTAAAAGCTGGAAGACGTTTATAGAATGTGTAGTTCACTCAGCCGTTTATTTTTCGATTATAATAAAACTAGGTCAGCAGAGTCCAACCCAAGTTCAAAATGTGTACTTTTTAAATAATTACTCTAATTACAGTTGAGAAGTGCATTAAATATTGGACATAAATATGAAAAAATACCTAATTTTATTAACTATACCGATACTGTAATATAACCCAAATGATCTTTGTTCAGCGAGGCGGAATTGGAAATATAGCCGTAACCATTTGGCCTATAATGAAACTTCCTAACATCCTACATCAGACGCTGCAGAAATCCCCCTTTCTATTTGCGTCACAAGAAAATTACAATCCTTTTCAATTTACAGCGGCTTACAGTCATAATTAAATTACCCACTAGTTTAATATATATAGATATTTATTTTTCAGATAAGAAAAAAGGAATTATTACTAATAGCAGGGGAACCGCTACAAATAAAATGCATTTTATTGCAGTATTATAACATCTTAAGCAGCAGATGTACACATTATACACCAAGAAATCACTTACTAGTTTCATGTTTCCCAATTGCCGATCAGCGCTTCTTTCGGTCTCTCTCTGCTGATGCTTAAGTTTACCGATTTCTTGACACAGGTTCTCGAACAAGGATTTAGAAGGTCCAAAAACCAGAGGTTCCTCTCCACCCATATGAACCGTCGTGTTTTCGTATGCGGCCAATCTTGTCTTCAAGTCAGCAATGATATTGTCCTTCAGGCACATCTGGTGGCTTAACTTGGCGATTTCTTGATTCGTTTCGTGGTAGAACGTGTTTAAAGTATTGTAGCTCTGTAGTTTTGTTTTGAGCGCCGCGTTTTCTCGCTTTATGCTTTCCATCAGAGAATCAGCTTGGTTGTATCCAGCGATCGGGCGTTCTGCGCAACCTGAAAGAGCCGACATCGGATGTCCCTCCGCTATTCCTCCAGCATTCCAGGTTAAAATTCGCTGTGTTCTTCACTTGAGACGCGCACTAACTTTTTATTCGACTGAGGGCTCTACGAACATCTCCCAGAGAGAAGGGTCAGCCGTATAATAGATCGGTACATACAATTTCGAAATAATATTCCAGTACCTACTGGGGATTTCCTTCGGGACTTCCCCCAGTCGCATCGGCGGACTTTTCTTGTACTTTTCTTTCTTAGCAACTCTGAGATCCTTCAATGACTGCTTCTTTTCCGCACCGCTCTGATTAAGCTCTTCTGGTAACTTCTGGTAAATGTATTAATGAAAAAGATCAAGCGCTCCTGACTCCTTTTCTTAATGAAACCGTTTCTCTCTCTTTTTTTCCAGTAGAATGTATCTAGCCATGTCACAGAGTAAGACTACTTCTGCACATGCGTGAGATGTTTCCGGTTATAGACGGTAAACTTGTCTGGTGAATTCGTAACACCTCTTTTTTAATAGACTTTGATCATTCTGGATTTTTTTTTCACTTTGCTACACACGGTTGATATACTCGGGACAATTTCTAAGTTTCTCACTTCATGGTTTCTTACATAACGAACACTTTTTTTTAAAACAAAAATGAAAGGCACAGCAGACTTTTAAGAAGTTTTTTTTAACAAGTGTTTTCCCCCCCTTGTGATTAAATGTTTCTTACATGTCGCGTTACCAATTAAACAGTACCGACAAACACTCAATATTCGTAGAATTGTCCATCGTGTAATGTTTTTATTTTGTTTTTATTCTTTCCTTAAGCCTCTTTGCAGCCAGTGGGCTATTCATATACATTATTCTTAAAGATGGCTGCTGTTGCAGTTGTGTTTTTTTGTACTTTCTGATGCATTTGGCTCAAGAATGTTTAAATGGAAAATGGTTTAAAAATTACAGAGACCTGGACTCTTTTACCATCTTTGCAGATGCGAAGCTTCCTTCTACTATACTGTAGCTCTCTAAGGAATCCCCTTCAATCTTCTGATGGGCTTGTGTGACTGGAAATTAATTTTATTGACAAATGTAAGTCTGTCCTTACAAACAATAATCCTCACAACCACTGACTTGTTTTTCTCTGCTGTACCTGCAGTGGGAAATATTGGCTTGGTCATATGGTTTTGCGCGCTAAGTGCTCCTGGCTTTTAAACAGCCAACAATTATCAGTATTTTGCGAATATTCACGATTGTTCAGTATACAAGGGGCACTTGTATCCGTCTTCTTTTTATAAATATTTGTCACTGCGCAGTGTTCACTGTTTATGTAATATTTCAACTGTACTGATGATTTTTACACCTGGATTTGGAGAGCCAAAGGGCCTTCTGGAATTCATTAAATCTGAGATTCTAATTCAAATTGATTGATTGGACAGATAACTCTTGAGTCAATTAAAACCAAAATTCTCTTATATTGCCGCTGTTTCCAGGTCTTAAGTCAAATCAATATTCTAATACCCTTTTAAAATCTACAGAGTTGTTACTCTTCAAGACTGGGAATGTGGATCACTGAGTTGCTGAATGAAATCAAATGTTTTGCGTCAATCCAGCAGTTTTTACTAAAATACAGTAAATATCAAATATGTATTCTTAGGAAGTGTATAACATTCTATTTCAATGATGAATTCCGCAAACTTTGTATTGCAAAGTAATATATGGTACAAAAACATCTTAAGTTCACCTGCTTAAATTATTTTAAATACTAGTAATAAATAGATTAATGTTGAGATGATTATCTATAATTCACAATTCACACAGAACATTGGATCACAGGTAGAGAAAATGATGCTTCCCAGTACAGAACATACGCAACTGCAAAAAAAAATGTACCCTCATCTTAATTCTGTGGGGTATGTCACATAGATGTTGACTTGTAGTATGATCTACAATAATAACACCGACCAGAAGGGATGTTTGATACCTCATTTCAACTTTAGGCAAATAGAAAACTGACTGGATGTTTGAAGGAGGTTAGGGAAAAGAGATAGGTTACTGTTAAAATAGCAAACTAGACATTTCCTGAAAGAACCAGCTGTGAATTATATCAATACTGTACTGAAGTATTACAGTAACACGTATACAGTGCCAAAAAATTGTCAAACCTGTAGGCTGATCCATATTCTCATATATATTATACAGTATATATCATACAGCGGCAGTGACTTCAATTACATATTTCCTGTAACTTTTTATCAGTCTCTTGCTTGAGGAATTGTGCATTCTTCCATATACAGCTGCTTCAAAAGTCAGTAACATTTGAGGGTTTCTTTGCTTAAACAGTTTGCTTCAAGCCCCTGCCATAACATTGCCTCGGGATTTAGATTCAGACTTTGACTTGGCCAATCCAAAATGTGAAATTACGTACCTCTTCAGTCATCTTGTTGCAGATCAGCTTGTGTATTTAGGATCATAGTTCAGGTGGGCAGCTGCGTCAGCATGCGTAGGCTGCAAAGGAACAAGTAATAGGTTTATTCCATGCTGAAAAAAAGAAGAGAGAAAACACAACGTTTCAGCCATGGAGCCTTCTTCAGGTGTGAGCTCACACCTGAAGAAGGTGGCCACACCTGAAGAAGAGCTCACAGCTGAAGAAGGCTCCACGGCCGAAACGTTGTTTCTCTCTTCTTTTTTTCAGCATGGAATAAGCGTATTACTTGTTCCTTTAGGATCATAGTCTTACTGCATGACCCACTTTTGGCTCAGCTTCAGCTGACAAATAGACGGTGTGATACTCTCCTGCAGAATGTGCCGATACAACAGCAGATTCCCAGTTCCATCTATGATGGCAAGCTTTGTGGGTCAGACAGTGTTTGGTTTTTACTATTCATAACATTTTTCATCCATCCACCCATTTTCTAACCATCTTATCCAGTACAGAGCTGTGGGGGAGCCTATCCTGGCAAGCAGTGCGTACAACGCAGGCCAGCACTATTCATTGGGGCTAAAGGGCTTAAGCTCTTGTAGTAGTCTTGTGCATGGTCCGGGTGCTCTTTGGCCAACTTGAGATGGGCAGCAAGTAAGGATCAATGCCCTCTTCCTGTCTGTTGTCCCAAGAAAACCATTCCAGTTCAGTCTTTTCTTGATAGTTGAGGCCTGAACAATGATATAAGCTTCAGTGAGGCCTGGAAAGCCTTAGATGTCACCATGGGCTTCTTGGATGGTTTTCTGACTGGCTCAGGGAGCAATTTGCAGGATGACTGGAGCTGGATAGGGTCATTGTTACATTTTTTCATTTGTAGACTACAGTATCTGTCTAACAGTAGATGGATAGAGTCCCAAATGTTTAGAAGTAGTTTTGTAACTGTCTCCAAAATGATAAGCATTAACTACTAATTTTCTGAGGTCCTCTGAAATTCCTTTAGATTGTGTGTATTTCCACTATCCTGTATTGAGAAGACCAAACTCACAATATTTCCATCCATTGTAAACTGTAGGATAAGGTGGTCCAACCTTATACTTAAAGACTTGTCATCCATTTATTAACCACATCATTATAATTATTCCCTTAATTGTAGTACTTAAACTTTTCACTATTTCACATACATGTACACTGATTCTCAGTTATTCATCTACAGTACGTTTTACTTCATAAACTACTATACCAGTTGTAATTTAAAAAAGTTATTATGGTGATAGAATTTATCATCATGGTAAGAAATTGAGATGCTCATTATAATAGTTTGCGTTCACAAGCCTTTTCTCGGCACAGTAATAGTATTAATAAACTTTGTAACTCTGCCAAATTCCTTAGTCTAATATGACTAAATTACTGATAAATGTAATGATTCTTCCGTTAAAATAATTACAAGGAAAAACAGGGGAGAAGTTCCATTATTAGAGGAACCTGCAAGAGGCTCATGTGAAACCTAGTGCCCAGTAATTGAAAAGACGCACAGTCAGGATGAAAGTATTTGTCATTTTGAGTACAATATGCAAAACAAGCATGTGTATTATGAAGAGTACTTAAATCAAGAAGAAAATACATCAATCTATCCTAAACACGATTTGGCACATTAAGTCTGATTTTATTTTACTTTAAATAAGATTGCATTGCAAACGTGACATTATGCATAGACATAAGGAATGTTGCAAAAGTCTGGAGAAGATCATTTAGCCCATGTACCTCATTTTTCGGCTTGTAGTTAATTAAACTTAAAATGCAACCTGGCCTTTTCTTCAAGAAGGTTTCCTGAGTTAGTTTGCATTTGTGTTCTCTTCTTTATCCTGTTAATGCCTTTAAGGATTCTGACTATGTGAATCAGGCCCTCTGGATGTCCTCTTTGGTCAGGGGTAATGGACATTCTAATATTTAGCCCATTAGTGTAGGACATGTCTATAATCCCAATGATGTATTTGGTTCCTCTGGATCAATTACAGAGCACCAACATAGTTTTGTAAGGTGGTGACCAGACATGTACTGTTAATAATGTTCTACAGTAAATTATGGTTTTTAACATTTAACACCCCTAGATCCAAATTTGATGCTATAAGCTTCAGAATTTTGCTAACCTTTTTATTTGTTACTCACATTGTCTACAAGATGAATGTACTGTGCCAACATGGCTGATACATAAGTAGCTCCTTTATGTTCCAGGAGATGCATGTGCTATTGCATTTCATTCAACATTAGGTCTATTCATTATTTTATTTTTTACAATGCATCTTAAGGCCTACTTTCAGGAGCCCTTAGCCCTTTTGATGTGAGGACTCAATTACTCTTTATTATTCTGTCCTTAATAGCACTTTAGATTGCTTGGCTCCAGAAAACAACAACATGATTTACACATTACTGCCTTTGGTACATCAACTGGTTTTGCTTTGTTCTGTTCAAAGTTGGCAATCCCCTGTCCCATTGTCATGCATGCTATCAATGGATCATTAAAGTTGGGAATTTGTGCCTCAGTCTTTAATCTTGCAGTTTAAAAAACTGAATATAGTCACCATCTTACTCAGTTATTATCAGAGAATTCTTAGTATTACCAAAACTACATTGTTACAGTTTAAATCTTTATTACCTGATAAAAAAAACAAAAACAAATTGGTAATTGTTCTTTTTCAGCAAAACTGATCCCATCTGGCCTCAAACAAGACCCTGTTCTTGGTCCATTTTTGTTCAGTTTCCATTTATTCTTTCAGTTCCAAGTACGTGGCTCCAAACTGTGAGCCTGTAAGCTTTTGCTTTCTCTTCTGTTTCCCCAGCACTGTGGACTCATCTCCTAGTCCATATCAGATCTTGAAATTCAGGCAGCACTTCTGATAAAGCAAACCCTATCTTTAAACTCACTTCATAGTTGAGCTTTTAATTTTAATTTGTTTCATTTGTGTATACCTGTCTCTTATGACTGTTGTACAGTGGCTTGAAATGATGAACCATGAAATGTGATATATGACACAGGGGTTACTATATTTCTGCTAT